GTCCCGGGGGCCGCGGGGAAGGAGAGCCGCGGAGCAGGCGACAAGGAGCCGTGTCTGCGTCCCGGGGGCCGCGGAGGTGACACAACACCCGCCTGCCTCAGACAAGAGAAGCGGCAGCAGATTTTTAGGGCCTAACTTCGGGAAACGCTGCAGCCCTGGGAGCGAGGGGTGGGAGGAGGTCTGTGTGGGACCTGGTGCCTATCTCAGCAGGACAAATTGTCATCAGCTGTGAGGAAATTAGGCATTAGAGCTCCTCTCAAAATAAGAGATTGCTCTTGTACTGCTAACAAAAGACAAGACAGGCTGTGCCCTTCCCCATCCCTGTCCGTGTTCAGCCCCTTTTCCTCACTGTGTCAGCACCAGGGTGTGGAGGAAAATAAATTATCTAAAGCAGAAAATTTTTTTACTGTAGCCCTCCCCTAAAGCGAGGAGCCTGCGACCGGGCAGCGAGCACCTGCCCCGGAGGGGAAGCACCGTGTCCCCACGTCTCTCTGCCCCAGGCCGCCGGGGGCAAAGCCCCTTTCCCTTGAGAGTCTCCCTCCCAGCTGCGGCTTGGCAGAGGCATTGCCAGCTAGGTCCCATTCAGACTGTGCCAGATGGTCAGAAGCTGGTCAGCTATTATTGCTTCCAGGGTTGGATCCGACACCTCACTCAAGGACGCTGATTGTTCTCCCACCAGCTCCTCCAGTTCCGACAGACTCGAGGCAGCAGGGTGTCAGTGCTCCGAGCGGCACAGTCCAGGGACCCAGGCTGTCTCATCGCTCTGCTCCACCTCTGTTGCGCCGGGGCGACGCTGAGGCACATCACACCTGAAGCTCTTGCTCACAAGGAGCAGTAGCCCTCGGCAGTGCAGCTGCAGGGACACAGCCCAGCCCAGCCACCCACGGCCACATGCCACCCTCCTATCCCTCCCACAGGGCATTTCTCCCGCAGCACGCACTGCTCTTCTTATCACACGTCCCTGAAGATGAACGGACTCCTGCTCCCTCCTGCCGGGAGGAGGAAGGGGGTGTGTTTTCTGGGTCATTTGCAGAGATAGCTTTGTCAGAGCCAGCTGCTCAGGAGCATGCCAGGCCTGAGGCTTTACAAAGGCCAGTGGGGCAGGCACAACCTGGGCTCTCTTCCCCTTGTTTAGTCTCTCTGCTCAGAGCTTTCTGCCATCTCCCACTACTCTAGCCCTGGGTCCTGCAGATAGATGGAGGCAGTCAGTGGAGGAGGGGACCCTCTGTCTGGATGCATCAGCTGGGAAGCCTATGACAGGTCAAGCTGTTCTCATTTTTAACAGCTGCAAACAGAAAAGGCAATCTTAAAAACGAGACCTTTATCACAACAGCAGCAAACCTCACCTTGGATGAATCATGGCTAAGCAAGCAATGTTTTCAAGCACCTTTCCACGCCTAGCCTGCTTTTTCACATCAGCTGCTGCAGCACAAGCTGCTCTAAGCTAACATTACAGCTTGAGGGACCCTGTGCCTCGAGTAGAAAATGTCTGTTTAGAGGGAAAGATATATCCTTTCGGCATCCATGAACAAACATATTATAATCACCCTGACTGCAGCAGAGAAAAACAGACACGAAAATACTGCTGGTAAATGAAAAATAGAACAGCTGTCAATCAGCACCTGGAAAGAGTTTATAGAGCCAGGCAGAGAATTATATACCACAGTAACAGGATTAAGGGGTAGATAAAAGATAGTCATAGCACCGAGAGAGTGAAAAAGGGAAGTGACAGATCACCTTTGCAGACGAAGAACAAACATGTTGCATCTGTCGCTGAGGAGGCTGCAAGGGAGAGCTAGAAGGGGTACAGCAGAGCTCAGATATGTGATTCCCAGAGGATGAAGGAACAGATCCTGCCCAAACCTAGGATGCTGCTTCAAAAAAGAACTGTTGAAGAAAACCACATTGTGGGCCCAGGAAGTTTCTCTTCTGCAGCAAGACATTTGCTAGTGAAAAACCCCAAGATGTTTTATTTAAACACATCTATCCTTCCTGACTTGCTGTAGCATATAAGCATTTGGATTTAGACAGGGGCAGCTTAAGATAAAAGGTGAAGGGGTCCAGTTCAGTGGCCCAAATTTGAGAAGGACTCAAAAACAGGACACAAGAACAACAAGACACACTTTGCATTAGGAGTGCCTGCCCTTTTCTTCCAGCTCCTAAAGGCATCAAGGAATGGAGAAAATACAAGCTGGAGCTCTGAATTTCCACATCACCTAGGAGACAGCACTTGAGGCAGGAAATCCTCACAGCAGCCCAGAAAAAAAGGGGGTTTACAAAGACCTTGCTGTTTACCTTTCATTGGTTATCTGTTGTCCCAACCAATTTAAGATTAGGTTTTTAAAATATTTTAACTTTGCCGCGAACCAAAATTAACTAAATTTTACGGCTTATGGATTTTTCAAACGGAAATAGTCTCTAACAGTGGGCAGATTGGAAATGAACATCAAAGATTCCAGATATCTTTCTGATCAAGAGCAGATGTTCTTTGAGGATTTAAAAAAAAAAAAAAAGCCTTCTTGCCTGTTACACAAAAAGTCTGGGTTGTCTGCAAACTGTTTCTTCCAATGCTTGAAAGAAAGCTAGTCAGGAAAAAAATGGAACATGGCTCTCTTTTCCCAATTAAGGGGAGGCCACTCATCAGCTCTAGAACCATGCAATATTCAGTTGAGCTGATAAAGTTCACTTTGGAGCTGTTTCTAATCAGCAAAGATATTAAGCTCTACTGATTTGATCTGGCTTCTCCCTCTGCCCCCCAAACACTCCTGAAGCATGCATCATGCACAGAGGTGGTTGTTTCTGTCACATGCTTTAGTCTGGGTACCCCGGGGCTAGGACAAAATAAGAGGACTGAGCATCCCCAGCATCTTGGGTTCATACCTGCACCATCTGCTTCTCTTTCATACCTTTCTTTTTTGTCAAGTTCTTTATCTTCCCATTACCTTTAGTCTCTGGACACTGTATTAAGACATTATGTCATCAATATTCCATGGGAATAAATTTACAGCATGAGCAACCTGGCTTCAGAGCACCATTGAGTATCCTCATGCTCTCTCTCAGTTGAGAGAAAGAAATGTGACACTTGAATAGAGAATAGCTGAACACCAGACTAGAGGAGAATGCCTCAGTCATCAAGCCTACCCATCTCCACCCCTGCTCCAAGCAGCTACTGCACGGAGCCCTTCAAAAAATTTTTAAGAGACAGCTTTATAAAGAAAATTTTTTTTTTCTCCCTCCTGCTATCCCCAGTGAAAGGTTAATCTGTCACTTAAAATTCAGCATTTAGGAAAGCCTAGTTTCAATTCACTGCTCCACCCCACATCTTCCACACAACGCTGAGCTGCTACAGCCCCAGCACTTCCATAGAGCAAGGGCCTCAGCACCTCCTACTTCACCAAGGTGTTGCAAGTGTCAGATATATTTAAGAGCATGAAGCATTCAGATACTATGGAAACCAAGGCAAGAGGAAAAACAAAAATAGATGGAAGATGGAAACACTTGAAAAGTCTGGAAAGTCTTGCTGAGGAAGGCTGTGCTTCCCTGCAGCTCATTCCAGAGTGGGATTCATTTACAGCTCAAGCATAAAATATCCTCTCTCCACAAAATTTTCTCAGCCACAGGGAAAGGGATATTCTTTTTCCTCCTTAGGCCTTTGATTTCTCATCTATTTAAGAGGCCTCCTAATTACCAGTTCCTTTGAATGATTCACAGTCTAGCTTGCTCTTCCCATGACCTGGAGTAGATTGTTGTCTGACTGCTTCTGTATAGCAGGATTATTGGATCATGAGAATAAACAGGACAGAGCACTGGCCTTCTGGAAGTGAAATCCAACAGCAACCTACAAAGAAGGATGCCTGAAACAGAGAGTTGAGGTGCCAGCCTGTGAAACACTCTGCTGCTCCTTTTTATAATGCAGACATTTATTGTGCATATTCACCCTTTACAGACAAACCAGTTACTGGTATAATAATCCCTTTTTTCACTCAAAAAAAAACCAACCCAAAAAACAAACCAAACAACCTTCACCAACACAGAAAGTACTTGAAATAGCCAGAACGACATGTGGAAGAAACACAAAGGATGCCAACATGAGGTATACAAACCATCTTACTCAACAGTCAACCAAGTGGAAGACAGTAAGAGATGTACAGCAGTTAAAGCACTCCACAAGGCAGGCTGAAGCCATCTACCCCAGGAAGCCAGGTTGGGGTCACATCCCTCACCAGCACAGACCTCAAGTCTGCTTGAGAACAGAGGTGCTGAAGTCTCACTTCACAGCACTGTCTCTAGTTCCAGGTGCTCATTACAAGCTACTTCTTGAAAACAGAAGAGTCTCTGCTCTTCTCAACATAAACATTACCCCAGTGAGGAAAGCCTATCAAGGTGAGGGGAAGGCTCCAGGTGAGAATCTTTAGCTTTACAGTTGTCAGTGCATTCAAGGGAAAGGAAACAGATTGAACGTGTCCAAGATTCTTCGTCTTACAATTTCTTGACTGCAGCATCAATCTCAGGAATGATCTCCTTCAGCTGATTCCACTGTTCTGCAGACAGGGCAATCCCTAGAACAGCAGGAGAGGTTTCAGAGGAAGCAAAGCAGCAACATCAGACTCAGTGTTTTCAGCCTCCCTTCTCCACATTGTAGCTCTGCCCCTGCCAACAGCTAGAGAAAGGACTGGTGGAACCAGAGTACTGCACAGCAGCTTCCTGCACTGCTGCTCAGCACTCCTGCCAAGCTCCAGATCTCACCAGAGGCTCACACTCATTCTTTGTGCTTTTCTTCAGCTGTTGCCACTCAGGCTAAGAAAGTGCTAAACCCTCCCACACTGTTTGCTCAGCTCCCCAGTCCCTCAATACCCAGGTCCCCCAGCCGCCAAGGGAGACAGGCTAAGGTGGAGCTGGAGAGACAGTAGGTGAGGCGTCACCCCTGCCTGCCACCCAGCAAACATGGTTGTACCTTTCCTCCCCGGTTTCATGTCGCCCTCCTTGTCAGTGTAGAACTCCCTGATGTCCACGAGGACCTTCCCCTTGAAGCAGGACACTCTGACATAACGCATCTTCCCGATCTGTGGCGACACAGAGCCTGTGTTACCCCGGCCCTACAACAAGCCTGGGGGGTCACTCCAACACGCCAGAGCACTAGCGAGGGAGCAGCAGGCACCCCAGGCAGCCAGCTTGGCTACAAAAATGCTCAGCTCCAAGTACAGGAGGCAAAGGGAAGACCTGCACCAAGAACAAGAGGAAAACGTGTTCCTGCAGTAAATCCCTGCCCTCCATACCTGGAACATACCCTCCTCTTCACTGCCTCCTCCCAGAGTTCTTTCTGTCACCTTTGAAGGTTTGGTCTCTGTTTTCATCTTTTTCTCAGACTTAGAAGACATTTCTTTTTTTCTTTTCTAGACAGAGAGAGCACCAGTTTGAGCAGCCCGCTGAGGGCCCCCGCAGGACACCAGTGTCGCGGTCCCCGCACAGGACACGTTCACCGGACACACTGCCGCGGCCAG